AAATTGGAAACTCTGGGGGTGGGGCCTAGCAACCTGTTATAAAACACCCTCCACGTGACTTTGAGGCACTGAAGTCAGAACTACAGCTTTAAACCAACACTGGAACAGGTGAAATTCTTCTTTGCAGTGATGACTAAGTGAGTCAAGTCCTTCTCAATTCTAGAAATAAGTGCTAAAGGCGTCCAGCCAATAATCCCTGGTTCTGAGTTCGAAGTAATCTTCATTTTGTCCCACCTGGGATGTGCTCAAGCCTCTCCTCCGTTCCCCAGGAGGCTCCTGGGGCTGAGGTGGGTTGGTGCTACGGAGCCACACATGTTTATCTGCTTCACAGTGGCAGACACAGCAATACGGAAAGGCGTGCAGAGGGGGCGTGAGATCCCTGGAAATCTTTGCATTTTCCCATCAGTTCTACTCATTCCTCTTTTGGAGCGGAACAGACATTTCGTGCTTTGCAATCACTATTTCACAAATAACGATCGAAAGAAAGAGCATATAAAATCAAATGAAAAAACAGGGCGTCTTTTCAGATAATTGCTCATAAGCTGCACTAAGTGGTACATCCTTAATGGTGATCCCCAAGCGTAGCACGCGACACTTCACCGCGTGTCCCCACACTTCTCACAGCCTTTACTCCGAATCACAGCGCGGATTAACCGTGTCTAGCCGCTAACACTCCAGCTCTACCTAGTCCTTTCCTGTTCTACCACAACACCCTTCCAGATGGGAAGGGGAATTATTAAGACTTTATTTGTCCAAGGGTTTAAAAGGTTTTCACGTTTCTGGTGGATAACAATGTTTGCTCATGTAAAAACAGTCTTTACGCGCCCTAAGAACACAAGGGTAGAAAAGTGTGAACGTGTCAGATGCACGGTATCACTTTACGGCGTTTTTCATCATGAGAAACCTCCCGCCTCAGAAAAATGGAGATGCAAACTCTCCGCAGTGACTTTCCTCCCTTTAAATTGTACCTCGCATCACGACCTATTACACCCACACGGTCATGTGCCATAGGCACTGCAGAAGCTCTCCAACATCTCAAAGACTCTTTCAAAAGCTATTTTTAAAGCCAAAATACAATCTAGGTTGCTATTCTATAAAGCACTTTTTTAGGAAGAACAAAATAGTATAGCAATTTTAATGCATGTGGGCAGTTGGCCAACTCACCGAAAGACTGAATGCAGCTGTCAATGAGATCATCCAGGCTGGCTCCTTTGGCTAAATGTCCCAGAGACACCATCATTTGGAACTGGGTGATGTGGGCCAGGCGGGGATGGGTGGGGAAGGGGCTGCTGGTGGGCTTCACCTCTAGTCTTGCTTTAGGGTCAGCTCTGCAGCCATGGGCAGGTTTCCTGGGGAAAAAGAGAAGGCGGGAGTGTAAGCAGAGCGGCCAGGGTACGAACAAGCTGCCAGCTCGAGCTCGAAAGGCAGACTGGACAGGAAAGGAGTTAAGACAATTAATCCCGGGAGTTGGGCTGATAGAAGACATACCCCTCCCACTTGGCAAATGCACCAAACGGACTGGTTGGCTGTTTAACATCTCCCCAGCAAATAATGAGGTGCGATTTCAGGGTTGCGACTAGGGCTTTTCATCCTGGGGTTAGGACTGCTCTGGTCCTGCTGTGTCCTAGTTGCCGACGGGGAGAAGAAGAGGCGGCCCTTAGCTCCCGACAATAATTCTTTGTTTTAGCTTGTAGGCCACTGACTTGGGTTTTCAGAACTGTTTCAGTTGGTCTTCTCTTAAGCTAAATTAATTCATCTTGGACAGTCCCAGGATGCTGCAGGTCAGGCAGCCTTGAAAGCATCTTGAAGGACATTGGAGGACAAATCAAAGACTGAGGACTGTGTCCAGGTTACGGTGTGGCGGTTAGGGTTCACGACAGGCCTGCCTTTCTCACAGATCTTGGTTGGGTTGAAGAGCCTCATTTTCATTATTGATAACACAGGTAATCACTACGGGTCATTCTACCAAGTCCTCACTTGGTTCCTCACCAATTGAAAAAGAAAGCAGAACTATGAGAACTTTGTCCTAGGACTAAACGTCAAAGCACACGGCTGGATCTGGAAACGCCTTAGGAGTCCAACAGGTCACCTTTGTCCCCTCACAGCTTTATCTTTGGTTGTGACCTCACCAGCGCATGTCAAATTGTTTGAAAAGTGATATGATGAAGATTAGGCATTTTATTTTCCTCTCTGTTAAAAATAATAGACACACGTACACATACATACGCATATCGATAATCTTTCAAGGTTTAACAGTCCTGGGTATTATTGCTTCTTGGAGCATATTGTTAATTTTCCTCTCCCCACTGCGGCTTTGGTCATTTCATAGTTTATTAACAAAAAGGAGAAACGAAAAAGAAAAAAGTATACCTCAGATCCTTAACTTTAGCTACCGACTAAATATTATGGTAAACACATGATGGAATCAATTAATATTGATTAATTAATCAATAAGTGCTTATTCTATGAGGAAGACATTGTGCCAGGCCAGGCGACCACAGTGAGACAGTCTACATGAAGGTACTTTGTAAACAACAAAATATACTCTTTATACGTTAGATTTTGCTGTTGTTGATATAGAAAGGAGATCTGGAAGTTCTTTAACACAAAAATCGAGTTGGAGAACCAGACCTAGGTGGGGAAAGGTAACTGTATAAATCTTAACCAAGTGTTCTGTGCTTTCAAGAGTAAGAAGTGTGAAGGTTCCCAGAGCAGGGAGAACTCAGCTCCAGCCGGAGTGTCTGGGAAGACTTCTCTGACAAGGTACAATCTCACGCAGATAGGGCTGAAGAAGAGCTTAGATAAAAAATAAATGCTGAGGTATGTGTGGATTTTGGGAAACCCTAGTTCAGTGTACTGAACTATGGGGCCACTCAGTGTGCCGCCAGACTCGTGGAGGGAACACCCTGGCCCTTTAGGTTCTGTTTCAGATGAGCTCCAGGGCTCTGGTCTGGAAGGCCACTGGGCTCTGTTCCCACCTAGTGGGTCCAATGAATCCAGTCAATGACTGGCCATTGGGCATCCGCTGACCCAAGGCTGTGAGCCGATGCTGCCCAGGAGTCCTGGCAGATTGAGATGGTGTTACAGGACTCAGACAAGTGTCTGGCCATTACTGATTTCTATTTGGGCCCTCTGCTAGCCCCAGGACCAGATCAGTATCTGCAAAGAGGAGAAATAATAATAGCCACCATGAACTGAGTCTCCAATATGGCAGCCACCGTGCTGGGGATTTACATTGTCTTTAAAGCTTACAGCCCAGAAAGATGTTATTTCCATTTTATGATAACGAAACTGAGTCTAAAAGAGGTTAAATGACATAGCCAAGGATGTACAACTCACATGTGCCAGCTATGGGATTTGTACGTGGCGCCTCTCTGGCTTTATTCGTTTAATATTTATTTACTGTGCCTGGAACTGTGCACTATTCACTACATCACAGCGAGCAAGGAGACCCAAATAGAAAGGCTAAAAAGGCCAATTCAATAAAAACAAAATCCCCCCAAAGCACAGCTGATAACATAAAGGCTGAATCTCAAACCCCACTCCTTCTGCAGGTTGCTGGAACCCATCCTGTGAACCCCAGAGCTGGCTGGACTCTACATGATCATTTTCCAAACTCCCCCATCTAAAGGTGTTTAGAAGGGCAATGTGACTCGCTTCTGGTAGCAAACACACGTTAGAAGCTAGGCCTCCCATGCCCTGTGCCATTCTCCCTTCCCTTTCTGGAAGCACTGACAACTCTCTATCTGGGGCTGGCTGACTAGTGTCAGCCTTAGTCAGCTTTCTGCCTTAGCTGCTGCCTTTCCACCATTAAGACCTCCACCAAAGGCAGAGTAGGGAAGAGATGAAAATAAGGTTGTTCTCAGTCACAGCCTGTTTTTCTTGGGCCTTCCACACCATCTCTCCCTCACCCTGATGAAGAGGCAACCACAGCTAGAGGCTGTGTCTCCAGAGGAGGCTGCCTCACTCTCTCACCCGGGAGACCCAAGGTGACATTGGTCGGTGGCATCAACCATTCAGGACTCCTACACCTGCCCTGGCCTCTAATTCTGGTAATGTTTTCTAGCACCACCAGTAGGGGAAACCGCTTTGGTTCATAAGGTGATTCTCGGAGACAGAAGCTTTTACTGGAACTAGGAGCAACTGGGGTAGATTCAGGTGGAAAGAAAGAAACTGAAGGGTGTGTTTAGGATGAGAGGAAGGGAGGAGAAGGCGAGAAGTGCAATCTGGAAGTAGAGAGGCCAGAGAGGCTCAGAGAGCTTGGGCATGAGAAACCAGGGAGAAGAGAAAACTCTTAAAAACCAAACTGTAAACTAAGAAATGCTGGAAGATGGGGAGCTATTTGCACCATAAACTGGGAAACTGCTCTTTGGCTGTGCAGTCTCTTGGTTGCCTGGTGACAACCTTCCGAAGACTCTGTCTCTTCTGGTGAAATGGACTAGATAGGATTTATACAATGCTTTATTACAGGTGGGCACAAGGGTGTTTTAACCACCGACCCATCGAATGAATGGCCTCTAAGTCTGCAAAGGTAAATTTTTAAAGGCTAGTAGCCCAATGTTTCCGGGCCAGCTCCCTTGTGCATTCAAACAAACGAACAAAAAAGAAGAAAGAAAAGAAAAAAACTCGAGAGATAAGTGAAACCGAAAGTGTCTTTCCGAGCCTACCAGCGGCCGAGGCCCCGGAGGGTTTGCCGCTGAGGACCGTCAACTCTCTGAGCTGGTTTAGGCGAAACCCTCCGCAGGTACGGGTACCTCAATGGAAGGCACCATTTCCGCCTGGACTTTTTAAATTTTTTTTAATGAAATCCAGCCTAGAAGAGTAAGTGATGAAATGGAGGAGGAGAACTGGGATTTCCACAACTTTGTTTGCGGTGGAAGGTGCCTTTTACCCGCTTCTAGTGAGGACTCCTTCCAGTTCTGTCCTCTCCCTCCAAAGTATAAACAATTTAATTTACTGAACTCTGTCTCCCCCCCCCCCTTTCCCCACAATCTAGTGCAAGAAGGTACAGCGGTGGACTCTAAGGGGATACATCAGGGGCAGTGGGGGGCAAGGTGGAGAAGCGCATAGAGGGCCAGGAGCCCCTAATACCACGGGGATGAATGTAAGTGGGTCAAGTCCAGCAGAGCAAAGCTTCCTGCCTCCACTGGGTATGGCTGCGTAGGCTGGGCACGGCACACTCACATGACAGTCTCTGCCATCAGCCCTCTGGAGGTGTGCAGTGCATAACTTGCCCAGCCGTCTGCGGAGGCCAAGCAGCTGTCCAGGCACTTGCCCTGTTCTGGCACTTCGGGAGACAAACTCAAAGATGTCTGGGCCCGTCTCTGCCTTTCTCCTCCCAGGAGCCCTTTCAACCACTGTCACTCCTCCTTCATCTTCCGCCACTCCAAGACCCTCCTAAAACATCTTTCTAGAATGGTAAGCGGGGAAAGGCTTGCAGATTTCCACTCGGAAGGTTGTACTCGCTGACCCAGGAGCCTGGAAACTTCCCTGCAGCCGGGGCGACCAAGCGGTACCACCTCTGCTTGCTCCTCGTACAAGCCTAAAGCAGTCAAAGCCGCTGGCCGCTCCGGGCCGAGCCCGAGAGCCGCAGAGCCGCGAGAGGCCACCAGATGGCGCTGCCGGGGCCCCGCGCTCGCGGCAGGTGCAGCTGGCGCGGAAAGTCCGCGCGTGGGAGTCCCGGGTGCTTCGCCGTGAGTATCCCGGGGAGGAGGTGGCGGGCGGCCGCGAACGTGGGCT